ATGCTGCAAACAATTGAGACGTACCAGAAAAGAAACTAAGGAACTCCAAAGCCAAATATATCAACAAGGGAGGTTATGGCATTCTGGAAGGGCTGAGCATTTCTGAATCCCGACACGGACGCGGTGTCGACACTTTGTGAGGGTGTCGACACCAAACGGGAGAGCTGAGCTCAAATCTCCGACACGGACATGGTGTCGACGCACAATATAGGTGTCGACACCGAACGGAAAGGCTTTTTGATTAACTCTTTGCCTTTCAATCTGAGATGTTAACGGGTTTGGGGTACCCCTTGTATTCCGTTTCAATAAATATTTCTTTTGCTTTTCAAAAAAAAATAATTCTTTTCACCACCCTACCAAAGCAATACAAAGTAGGATTATTCATATCCAATCCAAGCTTATTGATTAGACTAAAATTAATTTAATTTGATTAAAATTCAATCTAAATTGACATTAATTTGGATTAGTTTATATTATAAAATTTTTAAATTGATATAAATGATTTAATTTATGGTTTTACCTTTAAGTTGATCAAACTGTTCAATTACAAAATAATTTAATTAAATAATATAATATTTTTATTTTAATATTTCTTTTGAAAAATATATTTTTAGAATTTTTTGATAAAATAAAAATATAATATATTTTTAAAATTTTAGTGTACAAATTGTATTTTAAATTTTCATTTCTTGTCCCATACAAACAAAAGCTATACTTTTTAAACTCTCTATTTTCTTGAGTAATAATAAACAGCCCATTCGACCCAACGGCATGGATCTTAGATTAGTGCCGTGCACTTTTTGTAAATGACGTGTTTGAAATTTTAGTGTGCAAATTGTATTTTAAATTTTCATTTCTTGTCCTATACAAACAAAAGCTATACTTTTGGAACTCTCTATTTTCTTGAGTAATAATAAACAGCCCATTCCATCCAACGGCATGAATCTTGGGTTAAGATCGTTTGCTTTCTGTAGGTGACGTGTTCAAATCATACAGATTTCCTTTCTCATTCTCTCACTTAAAAAGAGTAATAATAATAAGAGTTTACATGTCTTAATTGCTTTATTAGTTTTTTTTTTTTTTTGATCAGCATTGCCTTATTAGTTGTTATTTCTTTTTTTAATTTCTTTTTAATTTTAACTCTAATCTAATGGTTGGTATTATTATTTTGTTATCTATAATATTTTTGTACTTTATAATTGTATTTTCTATAGTTTGATATATTGATTTTTTACCTAATCAAATATATTTAAGATAATATTAAAAATCAATTAATCCAACTGAATTACATTAATCTGATAAAAATTGATTAGTTTAATTATGATATAATAATAAATTAGATTAATTTGATTATAAAGATGTTAAAGTCCGATCAGTCCACATTACGAACGCACCTAGTACCAAGCCTTGTAGCTGCTGCCTCCCTGGCCTAAGCATGGAAAAACCCCTAGAATCCTATGGCCCCATTCGTTATAATATGATCGGATCGACACCCTCCCCTAATGCCATCAAGATAGACCACCACCAAAACGATTGCCCAACCAAAAATGCTTCTCTCCTGACAACAAACCCACGCCTACCAGTTGCCAGCCAAACCCACTCGCCATGTTCATTAACCAAAAAACGAGAAGCACACAGTGTCGATAATATTACTGCAATCATGAACACACTACTCGGAGTCTCGTACTGTAACGCAACATCGTAGTGCCACTAGGCCCTGACGACGCGACAAACCCCTAACCGATGACAGCCTTCCACAAAAGACCACGCTCGCAACCAAATTGGTCGAAAATTCATGTTACATGGTCTACTATCTAATGTACTAAAAAAAAAAAAAAAGAAAACTATTGTCATTTTATTTTTTCATTTGTTACTCTTTTCCACCTCATAATTATAGTATTTTTTTTCTTTCACTATTTTTTCAGATTAACAATTTAAAGACAATGATGTTTTTATTTGTATTGCCCTTGAATTAATAAATGAAAAATAATTTAAAGATAATTTTTTACATTATTTTTTAATATAATTTTACATGTTAGTTAAATAATTAATTATTTTTATTTATTTGAGATTTTTTATATTAAATACATTCATTTATTGAATGACATATAAATATTATATAAAATATTATAAAAAAATTATCACTATATTGCTTAAATAAATAAAGATTAAAAAATTAGTGATGGGAATTATAATTATAATTAAAAATTGAGAAAAGATAAAATCAAAACACATTTTGTAGAGTTAAAGTCTATATTATATCTTACATATTTTGTTGTAATTAAATGTTTTGACATTTATAGTTTTTTCTTTTCTCTTAAAAACTAACAATGTAATAATAGAATATTATATAAAATTTTCTCTTAAAATATAAAAAATTAGCAATTAACATGATACAAATTTTAAATAAAATATGATTATTATTGTAAGATAGAATATTTTGAATAACTATTGTAATCATTTGCAAAGTAACTTAAATAATTATTAATTGTGTTATATTTTCATTTAGAATTTTTATTTTAAAAATTAAAAAGTCAAATTAACTCA